ACGAAGGAAGAAAACGGCGAGGGGAGGGGGGGGGGGGGGGGGGGGAATTAGAAAAAAGACAACTGTGATTAATACCTGATAGACTTGATTTGCTAGAACTCCATCTGGAATTTGAGAAGGGTCCCGTAGCATACTATTTATGAGAGTTTTGGAGGCTAGAGAAATAAAGAATGAAAATATACAAAAAAGCTGTTAGCTCAGTTATCCACTTGGCAGGAAGACAGACATACTTCTTTAAGGATGACATTGATGATATTGGTAATCTTGAAAATTATCCAACCAGCAACTACAAACCTATAAATTTGTAGCTACTTACCCATTCTGATATAATTAACTCTACAAGTCTTGAAACACTAAGACATTTCATTAGCACTGGGTGAAAGCAAGTCTGTGTTTACTTACACAGTTTCACTGGAAAGTTTCTGCTTTGGAAGCATCCTGCAGTTACTAGGGAAACTGCTTAGTTTGTACTTTTACTGACATGAAGAAAACGTAACCCAAAATAACCTCCATATCCCATGAGAACTTAAGGAAAAAGATACATAAAAAGTCAAAACAGCCTTTAAAACACTGTTTGGTCTCAACAATTTCACACACTTTATAAACTTGATTCCAGTTCAGTAGTTTTCAAATTTATTTATTTACTTATTTAGTGTCAACACATTTATTTGTCTTAATCTAAAAGCTGGCAAAAGGCTTTTTCTGATATTTTCAAATGTATATAACTAAGACACAAAAGATAACTGATGGCAATTTAGTACTATTTATCAGTCTCTTGTTCACTGATATTGATACTACAATGAAAAAAATAATGAAAGTGTAGACCAGGCTTGACACTGGCAAGGTTCCCAGGTTTGCCCAAGATTTCCTGTGTGACTTCAGGCAAATTCCTTTAACCTGTGTGTGCTTCAGTCAAATTTCTTTAACCTATGTGTGCTTCAGTCCTGTAAACAAAGTGAAAATTTACTTTTTTCCTGTTCTTCATCTGCTATGCTCCAACTCAGGGCCAAAGCTTTGTCAGTCTCTTCAGTGACTGTATCAAAACCCTCAGATGACACTGTGAAAAGGATTACTGGACCCTGTGAAATGAAGGGATCTGCTATATAAGCAGCAACATTACTATTACTAATTAATGTGTGCAAATGTTTTGCTAGAAACAAAGGATATGATCATTTAATCTCCCCAAATGTCTCCTAAAAGCACGGCATGCAGTTGAAAGTAGTATTTTCAAAAAATATTTTGCTTACAAAAATATACCATAATGCAAAATATGATGCCAGTCTTTGTAGCTCTTGCAAAGCCTTTAAACTCATTTTAGGCTTTGCAAGAGTTACAAAGACTGGCATCATCACAGGCAGGAGCAAAAGTTTGAGCAAAAGTTTTTGAAGTGATTGATATACTAAGTCAAAACACTTTTAAAAGCATCATGCCGCATTACACATTTGAATCTTATTCTCATACAAAATAAGCATTACTTCTGTAAGTCCATTGTAAAGAATAAATAGGCATTTTACTCTAGCTTTTGTATTTTGTTAAAAATGCATTTGGACACAGAATAAAAACTTTGAAAACATGAACCTGAAGGCAGTATATGTATTTACTTAATTAACACTAATCATTAGAATAATAGCAATTTTCTAGTAGGTAGGAATAACACACTAACATAATGGAGAGGTTGATATAAAGGTAGAATAATGAAGAATAACTGAAGAAGACTGAGCAGAAGGGCTACTGATTTAAGTATAATGACTTGATTTTGCAAAAATTAAGCTATTTTATAACTGATCAGAAACTACCAAAACCCCACCAATTCACTTTAGGGAAATGTTTATCTGGCCACTACTGAGTCATGAGCTACAGGTGCAAAAAAGATTTTCTTTATTTCTGACATTGTCAACTTCAGTTTCTCACTTGAAGTTGAGATATTCTATTCTTTACCTATATCAAAGTAATAATGAATTGACATACTGAATTTTATATTATGGTGATGTCACGCTGGCTCTACAAGATTTTAAATTAAGCCTTTAAAAGAAAAATGCATCAAACAAAACTGACTACTGCACTAGCTTTCAATATACTAACTTTCCTTCACATAAAACATTATCTGCTTATGTGATGTCCTGCAAAAAAAATATTAAAAAACCCTCCTGCATACTTTAAATTTTGTATTACCTATGCAACTAACATACAGCATCTTCAGCTGTAGTTCTTTTGTCAGAAAACCAGCTGCTGGGATGACAGCATACCAACAGGCTGCTTCTGTAAAAACTGTCACAGCATGGAAATGCTAAGATTTTTACATGAACAGTCAGAAAATAAAGTTTATTGAAACATGATTCTTGCATAGATCTCTTCCTTACTTAAAAGTAAGATGACACTGGTTAATATTTAAACAAATGCAAGTCACATGCTTTTCTTACTCAAGCTGCTATAATACTTCCTAGTTGAGGAAAAACTGAATAATTGGTTGAATATAGCAAAAAAGAGAAGGGATTTCTTT